CCAGTTCTCCATCATCACCGAGCTTCTGGGTACTCCCCCAGACGATGTGATCCAGACCATTTGCAGTGAAAACGTAAGTAGATGCACAAAACCTTGGAAGCAACTTTGCTGATTTCCGCAGACACTGCGATTCGTCCAGTCACTTCCCAAGCGCGAACGACAACCCCTCTCCAACAAGTTCAAGAACGCCGAGCCTCAAGGTCAGTTTGCAGCTTCAATGAAGAGAGCGTGGACTGACATTATCTAGCCGTCGATCTCCTAGAGAACATGTTGGTCTTTGACCCGAAGAAGCGTGTGCGAGCGGAGCAGGCCCTTGCCCACCCATACCTCGCTCCATACCACGACCCGACTGATGAGCCAGTCGCGGAGGAGAAGTTCGACTGGTCGTTCAACGACGCAGATCTACCCGTCGACACCTGGAAAATCATGATGTACGTGTACTCCCAGTGCATCACGTAAACGGAGCTAACACAACACAGGTACTCTGAAATCCTGGACTACCACAACGTAGATGCGGCGGCACAGGAGGAGAACAACGGCAGCTAAATACACATAATGTCTACCAATCTCGAGCTACAACAATTTTCAGTCTCCACGACAACAAAGTATGCAGTTGCCGAGGCTCGACGTATCATCTGCCTGGCGCAGGCGGAGTTGCTGTTCCCAATGATTCCCAAGGTCTCGTCTGTTGGACCTATGTGACATGAAGGTGCGCGGTAGATGGGGCATGGGCTTGTCTTTGTCATTTGGATCGCCATGGCTGGTACACGAAAGGAATGTTATGGAGGAATTGAAGGCTATGGTCGACCTAGGTAGGAATGTGAAATCATATTATCAAACATACGTTATTCTTCACTTTGACTCATGAACATGTCTGATTATATTGTATTTCAATGCGATGACAGCATTCGTCGCTAACGGGCCTGGCATCGCAGGTACTCAAGATAAAGACTGCATGATGTAAAGGGGAGATCAGAAAGTCCTCCAGATCTTCTCTGGTATCCGTGGCGGAGGATCTCGGGCGTACTCCCAAACCCGGGAACGGGTGGAGATCGCCGAGGCTTTCCACTAGCGCCATAAGGCTGATTGAGGGACCGCTGTTTCGTCACCGCTCTGAGCGCGTCCGCAACGACTCGAGGACGCGAGCCTGGCCCCTATGGCCCTACAACATTTGTTTGTATTTAAACTGAATGCTATGCGATAGCACTTCTATCGCACGACAATGGCGACTCTCAACCCACTTGTCTGCGTCGTGGACTTCCACCATGCGCGGTAAGCTTCTCCTTTACCAGTAGAGGTGTGAGTACAGAAAGAGACGGAGGAAGGATACTGGGCAACTTACGATACCTTTGTGGCTATCTGATGCGAATGAATCGCTGACTATTCAACGCAGAGGCCCAGAAGTGGAAACATGGCTCGGGGCAGAAGAGGGAACCGACCCAGCAGTAGACAACGACTGGTCGCTGCTGCCCTTCATGGCCCTGAGCGATGGCGCGCATGCCTCTGCCGAAGACTACTCTTACTTTACGCTCCGCCGCGCTCAGACCCCGACCTCACCCGCTACCTCACTCTTCGGAATATCGTGTACGCGACAGCTCGACGCAAGCAAGCTTATCGATCGGCCGGCTGAAGTTACAAGGAGTACGGTGCAAAAGGCTGTCGTTGTCATCAGCGATAGCCCACAGCACTTTGGGGCCATAAAAGCGCAGCTGGGCGTTGTCACCCAGCTGTGGTTCAATCAGAAGTACGTCAGGCTCTCATAGTGCAAGTCGAGGATGACGTGGAACTCACAATTCTTCAGAGACTTCACCGATATCGAGATATTGGAGCGCTTTACGGAAAGTCTACCCCAACTGCTTAAGAATCAGGAGGGGCAGCAGGACCATTACTTCGGTATTTCTCTGCGCGAGTTAATCCACGAGTTCAAATGGCAGACTTTGGTTCTTTTCAAATGCGCGCTACTTCAACCGAAGGTATGTTTCAACCTCTTGAAGCCGACATAGTGTGGCACGAGCATACAAGGTTACTGACGAAATGCAGGTCCTCTTCTTCGGCTCCCATTGCGAACGATTATGCATGATGCAATTTGCTCTTATTTCACTGATACCCGGCCTTATTCGCCACCTACAAGATGCTGCTGACCCTAAGTTCAATTCGTGTGAGGAAAAGTGTGTCATGCCCACTTCATTAAAGACATCGGAGCGCGCTTCCTGTCAGTGCATGTTCTCACCAATAGAAGCAATATACTGACAAGATTCAGTGTTGGCATACATGGGTCTCCCGCTCCAACTCTTCGGTACAGGCTCGCTGTTTGGACCATACACACCGCTTCAGCAGCTTGATATACTTGCAGACCAAGATACCAAGTCCTACATCGTCGGCTCTACGAACTCGCTGCTGCTTCAGCAAAGAGATCGATACAGCGATATCCTCATCAACCTCGATGACCACACCGTAAACATCACCTCAGCTGCACTCCGACAAGCATCGATCTTGTCGACGCCGGACCGGAGATGGATGGACTTCTTGACACAGACGATCAACGATACCTGGGATGAGGCAGATCCAGCGCGGCCCAAGGATCACGGATACGCCGGCAGCGAGGAGTTCATTCGCATGCAATTCGAAGAGTACCTGCTCGCAATGCTCAGCTCCGTCAAGTACAAGCTTTACATGGAAAAGAACGCACACAAGGAGAACTTGATTTCTGAAGTAGAAGGAGACCCAGCGAGCGAGTTCTCAAATGAGTGGGTACACGCCTGGATGCAGACTGAGAACTTCCGCATCTGGAATAAGTTTACCGATTCTCACCTTTTCGACATCGTTGATCCCAAACACCCCTGCTCTGGCGGTCTCTCAATGGAAGACGTTCAACGCCGACTAGCACAGTACGTTCCCGCATTCTTTCCATATCCCCACAAGCCCGACTAAAGCACTCACTTAGTCTGTTCTCCAACACAACCTTCCAAGCCGTATCTCTTGGCGTATGTGTGCTGATGCTCGCTTGGCGATTAGGCAGGTAGCAGAAATGCATCTCGACGAACGACTAGAAAAGTCTAGGGAAGTCTTGGGTAAACAGCTTGCTGTGGGTCAACAAAAGGTCAGCTCTGCATACAACCGCCTGTGGGCGGAGATGGAAGCCATGCGCGAGGCACAGAGGAAAAGGGCCGAAGAAGCACGACTGCAAGCTGAGAAAGAAGGGAGGCCCGTCGATGATGCAAAGAAGTGTAAGTCAGACATGCCGCTTTTACTGGAACACCAATGCTGATAATTGGACAGGGAAAGCTCCTCAAGCCCCCGACCTCACGAACGCAAAAGCCAGCGCGGGCGCATACTTCTCCAGCTGGGGCACATGGGCAAGCGAGAAGAGGAAAGGATGGGGGACAAAGACACCCGTGTCTTCGCCTCCGCCGGGTGATCTCAAGAGAGCAGAAGACTTCAAGAGAGACAAGGAGGCGGTTGTTGGTGATATACCGGCTAGTCCGCCGCCGCCGGATGTCAAGAGGAGAAGCTTGTTCTTTGATGCGGAGAAAGACAAGGAGGGTGTTGGGAAGGAATAAAAGAGTAACGACTATGGCAAGGCATAGAGGATACTAGTGTTCGCACAGTTATAAGAGCGGCAATTTGATGCGGCGATCTATAGCGTTCGTTTCAACGAAGTAAATATATATGGTATCTCGCTTGTTCTGGTGTGTACCTCGATCGAGGGACTAGGCCTTGGACCTTGCGCTCGTCTTCTACTTTGAAAGGACTACCGCGAATCTGCTTCTGCCTATACGACTAAAGCCAATGCATGTCACTTGATAATAACAAGAGGCACTACTGGTACTATGTCGTGCCTGCGCAATGTTCCGAAGGGCAGTTTAGTCATTAGCGTCTTGGCCATCTCGTGCCTCGTCAGACGTCCGATTGTCACCACTCTTCCTTCTCCTCCAACTTCGAATCTGTCGCTGCGATAGTAATCGCCCATCCCAATATTGCCAAGTCCTCGTTCTTATCTCGTCAGTCGCTTGGCCATGCTCGTCGTACTCGAAAAAGAACTTATAATGCCATTGATCCTTCGAGCACGGAAGTTGTACTGAAGACTAACATGCAGTTTGACACAGTATGGCGGGCCGTAAAGGTAGGTGCATTCTTCACATTTCATTTGTATCGCATCCTAGTTACCTTGCATTGCGTCTTCCTTTTCTCCCGTCTTTCTTCATCGAGTGTTGTGCTTTGCAAGCTCCGGAGCGGAGATTGTTCCATACCAGCAGGATGTGGCCAGGCCTGGCGAAGTAGACTAATCCACTTGACTGTCCATGTCCAAGCGGTCTACTCATGTGCGCCGTATCACTGGCTTGCATACTGAGGATGCTCATTGAGGACATGCGGTGTGTGCGTTTGTTCTTGCTCCGGCTTCGGTGGCCACTTCGACCATCCAGGCCATGGCGGCTACGAAGCAAGATCGCGATGCACTCAAGTGCAAGTGCAGTACTCGATGCAACCTTTTCCTGCCACGGTTGTGTCGCAATTGGCACAAGCGGTCATACTGCTCACCGTCTCACTTCCCTTCAAAACCATGCCAACGCCGCCGAGTATTTGGGCAACGCCGGCATCGCATCCAAACGTAAACAGCTACCGATACGTTCTGCGACAATTTTGATGTTCTCGCTTGCCAACATACCCGTCCTCTCGCTCCCGGTGAACCCCGATTCGGCCTCCGCACTCAGTTCACCGCCCGCGCTCCCGCTCCTCACCACGCGTCTCTTGTTTTGATAAACGTCTCTCACGTTCACCAGTGTCAACAAAGCTGCCTGGAGCACGCGAGACGCGTCTTGGGCCCGAGCTTAAGCTGCTTAAATCTCTGCTATATAAAGGCTTGCTCCCCGCATCTACCTCTACCTCCTCACCCCACCCCACTCTTGAGTTGACACTTCGTCGACTTTGACCAAAGCTTTGTCTTTGAAAGCTTCCATCTTCCTTGCTCCTACCCATACCTTGAGATACCTTGCCTCACGATGTCCAGCACAACAACATCTTTGTTCGGAGGCGGTGCGCCATCTGTCCCCGCGAACAACGACGTAACGTTGGCGGTCCAGCTTCCCAGCGCCTCAGATGCTCCCCTTCCCGACGTTGATTCGTTCGCTTCCGAGCTCGGTAACCTAGTATTGGCCGTACAAGCCGCTACCGATACTGCTAGAGTTGCGCACGACGCAGATCTAGTAGCCGGCAGAGCTGTGCAAGCCGCTAGAGTCGAAGCCATCATCGCCAGGAAGGCCAAAGAGGCTGTAGCAGCGCTCTTCGCTAGCCAGCTCAAAGGCAAGTCCAAGTCACATTCAACAGTCTTCAGGTTATGCTAACAGCTTCAGCTTTCATTGCGAGTTTCGGGGAGGAACTCAAGAAGCACGGATTGTCCATTGATCGTCAGATCTCTTACATCTCAGATGCCCCCGACGTATGCTGACATGTACAGACCTCGGCATCAACCCTTGCACTTGGCTTGCTACCATGTCGCTCCCCTCCAATGATGAAAAGGCCGCCAATACCGCTGATGCTGCCGCTGCTACCGAAGTAGGTTCATCAGTTCTTTCTTCATCTTCTTTTCCTTCTCCTACCATCTTCATTTCTCTTTTCTTGTTCATCCATTCGTACCCTCCCTCGTTTATTCGATGAATATGAATTCACCACGAATTTAGGGTGTCTTGAGCCTCCCCTTTGAGGTGTTTGGCGAGATCGGTATTCATCTCAGCGTCACGGACCTCAACGAGATGCGTCTTGTCAACAAGCGCATGAAGGAGGCTGTGGCATTCCCATACGGTAAGAAGATTTTTGTTACTGAGAACATCGTTATCTTTCCTACGTTTGCAAGCGTTTCAGCGTTCTTGGTTGGGCTTGGGCTGGATGGTGCGTATCCTGGGACGGTTCGAACAATCACCTTGGTTGGCGAGGGACCGACAACCCCGGAGCTCGGCTACAACTACTCTTGGGAAAATCTCCACATTCTCAAGTTCCCCGGCATGCCAGAGCCGACCGAAGACCAGTTGTATGAGGATGAAGAGATCTTGGAGTTCGCCAATGATGAGCACAAACACTGGAGCCGGATCAACGAGTCATTCTGTCACACTGGCGCATACCGCACCATGCTCAGTAAGTCTCTTCCCATCTAACATGCTGCAAATTGTACCCCGACTACGCAAGAACAATACAGCTAAATTCTGAGCAGGCCTTGTACTCGCCAAGCTTCCCAACTTGAGGACGATTCAGGTTCGCAAGCTGTACCCCGGCGAGCACATCCCTGGTTGGGCCGGGCCGGAGGCTTTGTCGAAGATGTCGTCGTACCATCCATGGACTCCAGTCAACGAGATATACTATGGTGATTGGAAGTACGATGAGGTACACAAGCGGGTCACGATGTGGATAGACGAGTACGGTGAAGAGATGGAGGAGGACGATGCTGGCCCTCAGGCGGGATTTGAGGAGGATCTGTTCGCTGCCATGGCACTGTCTGGCACTCAGGCTCAGGTCTTCGAGATGCATAAGGAGTTGGTCTGATTTCAGATAGACATGGATGATACTGGTGTGTAATGGGTTGAGATGATACGGATATGACTGCTAGATCTACCTAATAGCTGGTCTCGATGGCAAAATATGATGAAATTTGCCCAAAATATCTGAATTTTGAGTGATCTATAATGGCTACATCACATGGACAGAGTTTGTACAGAACCCTGGTGAACAGGCCAGGTGTACTTCAGTATCTCGTGCCCTCAATGGCCATAACAGCAGATCTGACTGAATACCTCCCCGCCTCCTCATGGAAATACATACAACACTGAAGGATGTATTGAAGCACATCAGCCCTCACCGAAAACAAAGGCCTTCCAATTGCTCCCTAGCCTCTTGACACCCTCCTCCAACCCCCATCCTTTGATTCCACATATCCTACGTATGATATCTTCCAACCTCCTATCCATCTCATCCCCCGCAGTATGCAGGTCACTCTCCACCAACAACATATCATCCGGCACCATCTTAATGATATCCTGGAAAGCCTGCGGTGTTTCCTCCTCATCCAACGCATCCGACAGGTTAATCGCCGTACTAAACGAAGCAAAGATCTTACAAGGAATCTCCGGCCGCAAGTACTGCGCAAAATTCGACGGAGAACCAGAATATGAATGCAGACATATGCGCGGCGGGTACGGCTTAGGACTGTCGTCTTTTGCAGCAGCGCCACCATCGGCATCACCCATCTCATCAGCCTCCAACGCCGCCTCCGCCCCCGGATGATCCCTCCCCCTCTTCTTCCTCTCCCTCTTACTCAAAACCAGCCTCTCGCACCCCTTCCACGTCTCAGCCAGCACCTCCAACACCAACCCATGAGCCTGCACCCCATGCACACTAACCGCCCTCCCCATCTCCGCCGCAAGATCAAGCTGTTTCCTAAAAACGATCTTCTGGTGCGCAGGACTACAGCGAAATGGCGTCAACCGCCTTCCTTCGCGGCCACCCGGCGTGAGATTACTGTTGCGCTTCGCCCATAGATCGGGGTTGCCGGTCCAGGACTCTGGGATGCGGAAGGAGCGGTCGAGTCCGATTTCGCCGATTAGCGCGAAGGGGTGTTGGAGGAGGTGTTGGCGCGTGAGGGCGAGGAAGGTGGAGAAGGGTGTTGGGTCCGGGAGGGAGGCGTAGGTTTGGAGGTCTTCTGGGCTGGGGTCTGCGCGGTGGGGTTGTAGGACGGATTGGTAGTGCGTGATTTTTGCTTGGCCGGTTAGGGGGGCTTGGTCTTGTCCTTCTCCTTCTTCTTTGGAATCGGGCTCGGAGATGTACATTTGATAAGAGAACCAGGGGTGCCAGCCGAAGCAGGGGACGATGCATTCTTCTTTTGTCCATTGGGATGGGTTGGCCGATCGGATGCTGTGCTTGTTTGCGGTGGCTAAGACGAGGTCTTGGTCTTCGGCTCTTGTTGCCATTACGGTAAGGACGCGCGCTTTCATGTTTTGGATGGTTTCGATGCTCGACATGGTGTCTGTGGGGTGGCAGTGTGCGTCGTAGACTCCGAGATGCCATGGGAAGGGCTCGTCCTTGTTGGATTGTGTTGACATCTTGTGTCGATGACAGAAGAACTTCTGGATCAAAATGTGTAGAGAATTGGAATACTCTGTGTCGTCGCATGAAGCAAATCTACATTATGACGTGCATGTGAGGCTACTCGGGTGATCCCTGTCGGGCAACGCGCTTTCCGGATTATCCCACGACCCCACCATCAATTGCTGCATGCCAGCTTCCGACAGCTCTACAATGCCATATAACCCGCTAGTATGATCCCTTACAGCACTTAATCTAGTCCTCTGACCTATCCTGAGTCGTATTCAGCTTGCCTACCCCAGTCTAGGACCTCGGCAACTACCAGTACTGGCGAAACCTCGGAAGAGCCAACCTCATACCATTTGCTACTTACGGATACATGCGCATGCGCGCATGCATAGTACAAAGAGCCGTCTTCCTGGGTCCATCAGGCAGACGAGAATCCACTTTTTACATGGAGCTGTCAGCCCAATAGCAAACGCCACATTCCGCGCTACCTTGTACGGGACCTAGACGCGAAATGTATTGAGTTGTCACTTTACGCCCCGGAATACGATCGACGCAGAACCAGGTGCCTCGCTTCAATTAAACTCCATGGAAATCCACCAGTGAAGGATTCTGCTAGTAGACCTGTTTGCCTAATCTTACTCCAGGACCGAGGATGTACTTTCTCCGCATAGAGTAACCCCTCACTAGATATGCCCGTTCGCTTGACAGTCACTTGGACAGTCTAGTACATGTACTCATACTTTATATCACTTCTACTTCACTTCGACTTGTCACTATCTTTCTTTCTCTTCTTCTTCTTCTTCCTATCAACTTCAGGTCTCTTCCTCTTACTACAATACAACGGTCTATCCCACAGCAAACACAGACAACCAAAACTATCGTCACCTACCAACTTCACCCCAACTTCAAACACAACTACCACTACACTCTCCACGATGCCACCCCGCCTCCACAACAAAATCGCCGTAATAACCGGCTCCTCCTCCGGCATCGGCCGCGCCACAGCCCTAGCCTTCGCCTCAGAAGGCGCCTCCCTAATCTGCTCCGACATAACCGAAACGCCGCGTTCAGAATACGCCACAGACACGTCCCCCAGCACCACCACCGTCGCCGCCGCCCACGCCCTCGGCGCAAAAGCCGTCTTCGTAAAATGCGACACCACCTCCTCGACCGACATCCAAGCCCTGATCCAGACCGCAGTAAAAGAATACGGCAGAATCGACATTATGGTTAACAACGCGGGGATTAGCGTGGAGACGGGTGAGCATGGCAGTCGGCCTGTGTGGGAATACGAAGAAGCGGCTTTTGAGCGCACGGTCGATGTTAATATCAAGGGTGTTTTCTTGGGCACGAAGTATGCGAGTAGGCAGATGGTGGGGCAGGAACCGGGGGAGAGGGGGGATAGAGGCTGGATTATTAATTTGAGTAGTGTTTATGGGTTGAGGGGGACTTCGGGGATCTGTAGGTTCTTTCGTTCCATTTTCGTTCTTTTTGAATATGCGATGTTGAGGCTATGAGTAGACGGAAAGCTGACATTCTACTAGCGGGCTACGCGGCCTCCAAACACGCGGTAATGGGTCTCACAAAGTCTGCTGCGCTTGACTGCGCGCCCTACCGTATCCATGTCAACGCTCTTTGTCCGGGTTACACAGCTACGGCCTTCATCTCTTCGCTACTCACACCCGAAGCCGCAGATTCGAAGAAAGAGGTCGAGACGAGACATCCGTTTGGCGGACTGGGTACGCCGCAGGATATTGCGAGGGCGGCGGTGTTCTTGGCTAGTGAGGATGCGGCGTGGGTCACGGGTATTGGACTGCCGGTTGATGGAGGGTTTAGCTGTATGTGAGGTGCCATGGAATGGAGTTATGGGCGGATGGAAGGGTCTGCTGGACTGGGAATTGGATATTTCGTGCATTCTACTTAGATTGGCATGGTCATGAAGTAAGATTCCGGCTGAAGAGCATGATAGCCAGGAGCCTACAATCGTGTGGAGAACATACAGCCTTCCATCACAAGCAGAATATCTTCTGCAACTGAGTGTTTGACCTGTTTCATTGATTTTGTGGATTATACTAATCACTCTGTACTATGCTATTGCCTCTAGGCCGTCCCAAGTCCTCAAAAACAACACCCTATGTACACCCAGTCAACGTAAAAGTGACACACGAAGAAAGCCCCAAAGTGTATAGAAAAAAAGAGACAAAACAACTGGTTTGGGGAAATCGTCGATTGAGGGAAAATGCAAGGACAAGGAGACCCAAAAACGCCGCAGCTATGCATAGCTTTCAAGAGTAAAAGGACCTAACGGAGGGGGTGCGAGAACGGAGTCGACTAGGAAAACGGAGAGAGTGCGAATGGATAGGGTATCGCCGCCGGGGGGACAAGGCCGACATGTGTAAGAGGTGGTCGTGCTCCTTGGTACTATGCAAAAGATGGATCAGTCAAGCTGAAGGGTCGGAATGTAGTGTGGGGATATAGGTGGCGTGGTGGAAGGGCCGAGGGAGTGTGGGAGAATGCATGGAGGTGTTTGAGGCACTACCTCGCTACACGGTGGATCAACCTGTGGTGGATTAGTAAAGAACGCAGGCATGTCGTTGCTCGAGTAAACTTACCTCAGCGTGCTGATGGAGAAAGTGGCAATCCATGCAAGCAATGCAATCAACAGAGTCGCTGTCAAGCCCTTCTGCCTCTCACAGATGCTCTGTCGATACGGACAAGCATTCGTCCTGTCCGACTCAACGCATGCCCACTTGTCGTCCGTCAGGGCCTGGAAAGCCAAACTAAGGTTCGCCGACTCGAAGACGATGAAGGCGAGATCGAGAAAGATCAGCGACATTTTGGCATTGGGCGAGCGTAGGCCGAGAGGCTTGGATGTGTATTCGTCGTAGGTGATGTAGATGGTGTATAAGACGGCTACGATGTCGACGAGTATGGCCATCCAGGTAGACGAGTTGTTGCTGCAGCCGTTGTTGTCCGAGTGGCGGTAGATGGAGCAGGCGAGGGAGAGGGCGAGGATGGAGAAGACGAGGACAATGGCGCGGACCAAGGCGGGAACCATAGGGTGGTTCATGATGGTGTTGTGGAAGCGCATCAGGCGGCGCTTCCTCTTCTCCGAGGTGAAGAGCCAGAAGCCCTTGATGTGCTCGTCGCCGAGGCCGTTGTCGATGGGCTCCCACTTCTGCTCGAGATCGGGCATGTTCTCCTTGAGCCAGTCATCGTCGACGATCTGGCCGCGCGAGGAGATGGGGCGGTCGTGGTTGGAGGCCTGGGTGAACTGCTTCCACTTGGGTGCGCTGTCGCTGACGGGCGTCGAGAGGGTCACGGGGGCGCCCTCGCGAGCATGGTCAAACTTGCGGCCTGGCACGCTGGACTTGGGGGTCGGGCAGAAGTTGTGGTTGGCATGGCGTACGTTGGTGGGCGTGCGTGGTAGGAGGAGCGAGGAGGCGTCTACATTC